GGCGCCAGTTTCCTGCAGCAGTTAGGAAGAACATCGATTTCAGAAAGTCATCTCTTGTATGGACTGTTTACATTGAGAACGCAAATCTTGTACTAAACGGTTACGACTGTCGCTGAGCAGATTGAGAAGCGTCCAGTCGTAATCCGTGGATCTCAGACCTTTTGGGATTTGTGACGTACAAAGTGACAATTGGGAAGGATTTTCATCTTAAGTTCCCTCTGCCACTTATCATTCTAATCCCCGTTGCCCTCTTCCAATACTCATCTAAGTCGTCCCTGATGTGTGCGATAGGCCGAACTAGTCTGCACGTTTTCACCTCAGTTCTTACATGAGGCTTCATGTTTCGCCCATTTCTTGGCTATATTCAGTAAATGTGTATCAGTTCACTTGGTGCGTTTAATTTGAGGAGCAGGTATTCATTTGAACACTACTTCGCCAAGACCATTTCAAATACATCAAGCTTTAACATTTGTCAAATATGGCAAAATGTTGAAGGCTTATCAACCTCCTCAGCTTCCATTGTACCGTACGTGTAACATTCTAAGTGTGTTCCGTCGACGTTTGGAAATTTTATCGATGTCAATTTTAAAAAGAGGTGAACTGATGTTGTACCAAATGGCTCAAGAGGAAAGAGAGTTTGACAGATAATAGGGCAATTAATTTGTGATCTCTAATTCTCGCGGGAACCCCGAAACTCTTCCGAGGGCACCAAGGCACCGCGGACATGTGGTTGGCGATCCCTGGTTACCGCCTTATGAAACCTTTGCTTAAAATACCTGTGTAACAGTAAATAACTTTAATTTTTACATGTGGCTGTATCCTAGTGGCCATCTGTACGTTCATTACTATGCACGGATGGAAAAGCAAGGGACATTTACAGCACAGTTAATGATTGCTGTAGCAGAGCTTGACGGTGTGGTATATGAGACGAGGATGAACCCTTCTTCCGTTTAGCACAAACTTAGTAGCGTAACATGATTTATTACAATGTAACTAACTCCATGGAACAGAAGGTTCATTACCTTATTCACAAGAGCTCACCAGAGGACCACATCCTCAGTCAGTTAAAAACCTGACACCCGACTTCGCCAAGATCCATTTTATCCTCCCATTTACGTCTAGGTCTCCCAAGTTTTGTTCTGCAATCAGCTTTTCCGGCTAAAATGTCGCCCTCATGTGTGTCACGCGCCTCACCCATTGTTTCCTCCACTAATATTTGAAGAAGAGATCATTGAAGTTTCTCACTATGTAATTTTTTTATTCCTCCTTTAGGTTCAGATATTCTGATCAATATCAGGAGAGGAACAGAATAGACCAGAAAATAAGTAATATTGATAAGTAAAATGGAATGAAACATAAAATAAATAAAACAAAATATTAGAAGGAAATGAAATAACAGGATGAATAGATTCATGTATCGGATTCCATGGATTTTCGACTTTAACATGTAAGAAGAAATGGTTGTTGTAGAGGTTATCTGCATTGGACAAAGCTCTGTATACTTCCACATTCTGTTCTTGAAAATAATCAAGACAAGTGATTTTGCACTACACAGTGATGCATTCGATTGTTTAAAACAATAAAAACGAGAGATTTTGCGCTACTTTCTTGAGAACACATTCTCGAGAATGAAAACCGTATATACGAGGTGCGATCGGAAAGTTTCAAGACTGCGCCTATAGAAACCCGTACACTTATCTCAGGTATTAAATTCATCCATCACCCTCGAAGTAGTTTCCCTGGGAGTGAACACAACGATCCCAGCGCCGCTGTCAAGCCTGGAAGCATCCCTGGAAATCTTTCTTTGTCAGCCTGTCAAGCACCATCTGCGATTCTGCCTGAATCTCTTCTATCGTCTCAAATCTCCTTCCCTTTAGCTGAATTTTCATCTTTGGGAAGAGGAAGAAGTCACACGGAGCTAAATCCGGCGAATAAGGAGGGTGCGGGATGACGGCCATGGTGTTTGAGGCCAAAAACTGCCGAACTTTGAGGGCGGTGTGCGCTGGCGCGTTGTCATGATGCGTCGCATGTGGAGTTCTTCCTTTAGAATCAGCTGACAGGTCCCATAGCCTACCCCAACAATGTCGCACAAGTCGTAGATGGTACGACGTCGATCTTCGTGAAGGGCCTGCCGAATCTTCATAACATTTTCGGGCGTTGTGCTCGAAGATGGTCGTCCAGAACGCTCGTCATCATCGACAGAGGTTCGGCCATTTTTAAAACGTGAATGCCACACAAAAGTTTGTGCACGACCCATTGCGAACTCCCCAAATGCTTGCTTTAGCATTTCATAGGTTTCCGTAGCCGTTTAGGCGAGTCTTTGGCAA